TGAATGAGGATGTGCCGAATGAGTGTCCGGCATGCGGAGAGACCCCACATGACTCGAAACATCTCTTCGCATGCCCGGAAAACCCGACAACCCTAACGGCCTTGTCCCTGTGGACAAACCCCACAGAAGCTGCACGCTTCCTAGGGTTGCCGTTAGTGGAACTTGACGACAACGACTGAGATACCAACCGATCTGGGCGGGGTTGTTGTAGCCGCTACAACAACAACAACAACATGTGCATACATGTTTATTAGCTGTCAAAATTTTACGTAGCCTACGAGAAATGTAAAATTTTTACTTTGATTTGCCAAAATTTACTCTTTTCTATCAATTGACACAGTCCCATAGTTAACAAATATTTACAATCCGTAGTACTTTTCTATCAATTGACACATGCCCTTTGCACAAAAAAGGTTATGAAATGCGTTTTACTTAAATCGTTATAAAATGGGTCATTTATATATACCATTTTATGTGGAATTATTCAATAAATTTCGTTTTACATTATCAGGCATGTTCCGAAATTCGAAAATTTGAAATCGACTCGATTTCGATAATTTCTTCGATGGTTTTTAACCTAAAAAATTACAAGTCTCGCATTAAAATGATTTTTTTCATATCGCTGCTGCTTCTTTTACAGTTTTCACTGAGAAAATTCACTCCTTTCATCAGATATAATTAAAAAATATTTGGCAAATCGACTCGATTTCAAAGTTTCGAATTTCAGAACATGCCTGTATACTTTTTAAAACTATTTGGAGTTGATTATTTTTGTTTCTCAGAAGCAACCCTGCGTGCTTAGAAGGCGTGTGTACCAATAATTTCATCCCTGGCATATTCGTCCCCGAGGAAGGCAGTCGCCAAATTCACCGAAGGTTATTTACTGGTTATATTGTGGTGCCAATCGATGTGAGAGCAACTGGGTGTGACGTCACATTATTATGAGAATGAGAGTGTAAATAATAATTTTGAAGAAGAGGAAGAAGCGAACAAGTGGCGCGAAATAGTGATGTAAAATTAGGTTGAATTGTACCTACTCTTCAGCTTCTTAAATTTGAACATACATTCGGTACAATCACATTATTTTAGGTACATTTGGAAGGTAGTAAAATATTGTTTCATGAAAGTCCAAAAGTTGTTATGGTACAGATGGAAGATGTAGTCCACCAAGTGTCAAAAATATATGCACATAAATGTACATGTTTACTGTTTAGGTACGTGTATCCACTTTTAGGTACAACTTTTCGGCAAATAGGTAGGTTTAGTATTCATCGCTAGTGCTCAAAAATAATAATGTGACGTCAGCGAAAGGGCGGATGCTGTCAAATCGAGAAAGAGAGGATTGGCGCCTTACGCGGACCGCTAAAGGGCGGACCACGAAAGGGTGGATGCTGTCAAATTGAGAAAGAGAGGGTTGGCGCCTTACGCGGACCGCTAAAGGGCGGACCACGAAAGGGTGGATGCTGTCAAATTGAGAAAGAGAGGGTTGGCGCCTTACGCGGACCGCTAAAGGGCGGACCACGAAAGGGTGGATGCTGTCAAATTGAGAAAGAGAGGGTTGGCGCCTTACGCGGACCGCTAATCCTCTCTTTCTCGATTTGACAGCATCCAGCCTTTCGCTGACGTCGCATTATTATTTTTGAGCACAAGTGATGATGACTAAGTATTCATGTTGTACCTATTTGCCGAAGAGTTGTACATAAAAGTAGATACACGTACCTAAACAGTAAACATGTACTTTTATGTGCATATATTTTTGACACTTGGTGGACTACATCTTCCATCTGTACCATAACAACTTTTGGACTTACATAAAACAATATTTTATTACGTTCCAAATGTACCTAAAATAATGTGATTGTACCGGATGTACGTTCAAATTTAACAAGCTGAAGAGCAGGCACAATTCAACCTAGCTTTACGTCACTATTTCGCACCACTTGTTCGCTTCTTCCCCTTCTTCAAAATTATTCTTTACACTCTCGTTCTCATAATAATGTGACGTCACACCTAGTTGCTCTCAGCTCGATTGGCGCAATCTTGTATTTCATCATTCTTGCCAAAAACCATCACCCCTATTCTGCAACTCTTTCGTATTCGGATTTTGCTACGAATCGTAGAAATGGTATGCTGCAATCCGAATCGTATTTTCGAACTTTCGAAATTCGTAACAATGGCATGCCTAAAAACGAACGAGTAAGCTTTTTTGCGTAATTTTCTACGAAAACAATTCTGTGTCGGAGGCGAAATAAAAGATGTAAATCGATCTGTGTTTGCAAGAAATATTGGTGGTGTTCATTTAAACAGATAAATTTGCCTTTCACATATACGTATATTTTTATCCACTGCTTTATATAAACGAGCAAAAAAGAATATTTGTTGCCCCTTATCGAGAAACTTGGGTCCGGTTTAGTTAATGTACAACGATTTTCGGTTGTTGTGTCCAAACGCATAACCCAAATCCAAAAACTTTAACATACACGTGTAATCAAAGGATTCACATTTATTATTATTATACAGAAAGAAAGTGATCAATCACTGACTTACAATAAATAAGGAGCGCTAGTTGCATAGACCTTCGGCTCTCTAGAAAAAAATTATTAATATTAATTCAATATACTTAACCTATACATAATACATTTTTATATCAGTTTATTTAAATTCGTTAATCTAACAAATTTTGCGACTGTTTGTATGTTTCTTGTCTCCACCTCTTTTAAGTAGTTCGACGGGGTATTAATACCGAAAACCTCTTTCCTGATTATGTTAAAGGATGGGCATTCGTCAATAAGATGAATTACTGTGAGGTTATTTGAATTGCAATATGGACACTGCGGTTTATTTGTTCCTTTTAGAATGTGGCTATGCGTGATGATTGAGTGACCAATTCGCAGCCGAGTAAAGAGTCTTAAATCTTTACAGGATACGTTCAGTGGAAAACTTGGTTTATTTCCATCTAGGTTGTAATTAGAATAGTGATGTCTGAAGTTGGTCCAATTCTGTATCTTAGTATTTGTTATTTGCCTTTGGATTAGTAGGAGTACGTCACTATTTAGTACAGCCTGGCAAGTAATTAGTGGTTCGTTAGTGGCAAGTTTTGCTCTCTGGTCAGCCGCTTCGTTGCCGGCAATGCCAACATGGCCTGGGACCCACATAATTTTTATCGTTTCCTTTCGTTCTGACAACATGGAGCGTATTGACAAAGCAAGGGCGTTTTTATACTTCACATTAGTCAACATGTTAATTGCGGAAAGACTATCGGTGCAGATAATAAACTTCTTGTTTGTTTTTTTTTTTGGTTTTGGGTTGTGTTGGCAAAGCGGAGCGCTACATAAGCCAGGTTATTCCTTTAAGTTGTGAACCGTGTTATTCGCTGCTTATTTAGATCGATTTGCTGCTAGTGGTGTTCTGGGTAATTGTCTTCCTTATTTCTTTGTGAGTTTGCCGTCTGATTAAACGAATGCACATCCGTGCGACTTTTGTGTTTTTAATGAGTTGTTTGGTTGCTCGCCGTTTTTCAGCTACTGATTTATGTTGGTGTGTCCGAAATGACAGCACAAAAGACAGAATTGAGTGTGGTGAAAAGTTTCGTGTTTGCGCTGCCGTTTGGTTTTGTTTCCAGGTGCATGTTTGTATATGCCGGAGGGCTTGTACGGCCCCCAAATACGCGCTGAGCGAATGCGTTGGAACGTCAAAACGCGATCAAAATGAGTTGTTGTTAGAAGCAATTTTTTTATTTATTTTTTTTAAAGTATTTAAAGCGAGATTTGTGCTTCTTCGATAAACAGTACAAGTTGTGTTAGTTTGCCAGGGTTCATACCTTGGAGTATCTCGTCTAGGTTGTTCGAGTTTTTGATTACATCAAATCTTTCTCTGATGGTTTTGAGTCTTTCACAATGTAGAATTAAATGGGTGTAGTTGCTAATCTGACCACACACGCATGCGTTTGAGTTTATTGCTTTGATTTTAAATAAGTAAGACTTATCATACGTATAGCCAGTTAAAATTCTATTAATGATTTTGATTTGCTTGGGCGTAAGTGGACATTTTCTAAACCATGGGTGCGTTGGACTGGTATTAAAAATGCGGGAAAAAAGGTTCGGTTTATCATTGGAGAAACTTAAAAAATCATTGTACCAGGTGTTCTTTATCTGATTATAAATGTTCCTACTGGCTTCGGTGGCTGTTAATTTTACCTCAATGGTTTGTGCATGTTCAGACGCTTTTTTAGCTAGTTGGTCAGCCCTTTCGTTACCACTTATTCCAACATGTGCTGGTGTCCAGATCACATGGACGAGAATAGGAGATTCTTTGATGATTTTGTGGATTAGGTTGATGTAATAGTTATCTGTATGCTCTTTTTTTAGCAACTGACATGCTACTAAGCTGTCCGTGAATATCACTATTTTATCATAGCTGTTTGTGGTCGCTGTTTGCAAGGTTTTCCAAATTGCAATAACCTCACCGAAGCTCGAGGATGTATTAAAATTTATTTTATACATGTGTTCTATATCATTGGAAAGGTCGTATATGCCAATCCCTGCACAGTTTTGTTGTATGGAAGCATCCGTGTAAAAAATTTTGAAAAGTGATCTTCTGTAATCATGAAGGATCCTCGCATATGTTGCGAGGGCCGTCTCCTTGGGTGTGTTGCGTTTGCTGTTGGACAGGAGATTGGTCAAGACAATTAAGTTAGGGGGAGGGAGCAAGTGATCAGCGGACCCTAGGAGGTCAAAAAAGTGTTTAAATTCCAGGTAGGTTTTACTGTAGCTGGAGTTTAAGTAGGGGTGGTTAAAAATGTCTGATTTAAATGGATCGTCGGAGGTAAGTATTTTTAACAGCTCTTTGGCGGTGAGCCATTTGGCTCTCTCTAATGGCGGAAGCTCATTTGCAAGTGCGTAAATTAAGGGAATTGGTGTGGCTGGTGTTATTCCAAGCGCCCTTCTCAGGAAGCTATTTTGAAACGTTCTGATTTTCTTGTTGACTATTACAGTACTATTTGCAGCTGACGTTCGGCAGTATTCAACTTTGGATCTGACGAAAGACTTGTAAAAATTAAGCGCAACATTTGGTCTTAGTCCTGATTTTACAGTGGTGATCATTTTGAAAAGTTTGGAATTGTTCTTGGAGTTGGCAATTACAGAATTGTAGTGCTCTGTCAGTGTAAGAGAAGTATTGATATATCTACCTAGGAATTTTATAGCGTTCGTTTGCTCAATTTGAGTGTTTTCTAAAGTTATTTGAATACGTTTTTTACTGCCCTTGCTGACATACAATATTTTGGTTTTCAGTGGGTTGCAAGAGAGGTTTAGATTTTTCGCTATTTCATTAAACATAGTAATTTTTTGTTGCAGCCTACATGTTGCACTTTCCACGTCATCCCCGTCCGAGCAAATCACAAAATCATCTGCGAATTGGATGATGCTAGTGTTTTCATCTCTGATATTGTGTAAGTCTTTGGTATATATATTAAATAGGAGTGGGGAGAGGCAGCTACCCTGTGGTAGACCACCACTGATGTAGATTGACTCTTCCGCTAGTATAAGATTTCTTAATGCCAGTACATTTATGATCCACTCAGCGTAGTTTGAATTGATTCCTACATTGTTTATAATAACAGCTACTTTGTTTATGTCTACACAATTGTAGGCATTGCTGATGTCAATGGCACAGAAAATGATTTTTTTGCCTTTATGTTTTTTAATAGCCGTTTTATGCAGAAGATAGTTAACTGCCATGGTCGCCGACTTCTTTTTCCTATATGCAAAGGAGGAGTGCGGTAGAATATTATTGAGTTGTAAGAACTCTTCTAATCTATATTTAACACATAGGTTTATACATTTTAGTAACACTGAAATTAACGCTATAGGTCGAAAATTCCTAAAATTGTCAAGGTCCCTATCTTTCTTGGGGATGGGTACAATCTTGACCCTTCGCCAGTTGTCAGGGATTTGGTTAGTCAAAAAAAATATCGTTTAGTGTTGTTCGGAGGTTGTTTAAAGAACTGTCAGGTAGCGCCTTAATCATTTTGTATGTTATTCTATCATACCCTCCAGCTGACTTCTTGTTTTTCCTTTTTAAAATATCTTCTAGTTCTTCCTGAGTGATCGCGAGACTGCAGTCTGGTGTTATTTGTTTATTTATTTCCAAACTTTCGTTTTGGGGAACTTGCTCTTTAAGCATTTTTAGGAAGTTAGGGTTTCACCACGCTTTGGGTTTTCTCCTACTGTCAAGATTGTAAGAGGCATCGCGAATGGCATCTGAGAAAGTATTTTCAAAGTTACTAATATTTGGTTCTATTTCTGCATTGCTCAGAATTTCTGTGAGTTTGTTTTGCGACAAAAATTGACAATTGGAAGAAGTTCTAATATTTGATTCAAGGGTAATCGGGAAATGGTGGCTTCCACCGATTCTAATTGGGTCAACTGACCATTTAAAGTTTACGTTGGAGTTGGTTAGGGAGAGGTCTAAAACAGAACCTGCTTCTAGACTAAGGTCTCTTTTAAAAGTAAGGGAGCCATCGTTTAGTGTAAGGAAGTTGTATTGACTTAAAATGTTACCAAGATTATTCCCTCTGCACGAGTTTATAGTGTCACCCCACTCTGTAGCTCTTGCGTTGAAATCTCCTAAGATTAAAACATTGTTAACATTTTCTAGCACATTTAGCATTTTTTTAACTTCTTCTTTAAAATCATTAATTCGGATGTTTGGGGGGAAGTATACCGCACAAAATGTAATGTTGGGGGCTAGATTTTTGGTTTGTACTATGAGAATGTCATGTTGTGTTGTGTATTTTATTCTATTAAACTTAATATGTTTTTTAAGAAGGATGGCTACGCCGCCATAGCCATCTTCTCTGTGTTTACCTATGGTTTTAAAATTTAAGACTTTTCTGCTGTTAGAGTCATTATGTGAGAAGGTTTCACATAATACTGCTATGTCATAGTTGTAATTATTTAAAAAGAATTCAATTGAGTTTATATTTGCATTTAAAGACTGACAGTTATATTGTAAGATCTTCATATACTATTTTTTCCCTACCTCCTATCGAGCGGGCTTCCTCGTCAATTGCATTGCTGTCAAATTTTAATTTAAGATTTTGAATAAGTTCTAGTTCTGTGGTTAGTTTGTTTTCTATGCAAAGTTTTTGGGTGATTTTGAACATTTCTGTTAGGAGTTTTTCCATTTCGGAAACTCTACCTCTTTGATACTCCAGTGTTTGATAGACCGGTACTGTCTTTGTATGACTCATAAGCCAATCAAGAAAATTTTGTGCACACTCGGGTTGAAACTCGAACACCCGGGTATATTGAGCTGCAAAGCACCCGAACCCAATCAAGTATGTATGAAAAGCAATCGGGTGTTGTGGCCAACATGTTCGTCTTGAGCTCAGTCGATAACGAACAATACTTCTGCTCGTATACAGAGAACGATGCAAAACGGGTTTTGTTAGATGATCGAGTATACACGAAAATCATGCACCCGCTGCAGATGTCTGGTTTGTACCAACAACCACAGTAAAAATAGGCTTTCTAGGTAAAGAAATACCGAAAAATATAAAATTTGACTATACAAGACTGGAAGTAAATTTCTTCATACCCCCACTGCGACAGTGTAGGAAATGTGGCCGGCTTGGGCATACCCAGCTAGCATGTAAAGGTAAAAACAGGTGCTTGTACTGCGGAAATGAGGAGTGTAATTTAACCACTTGCAATAAAAATACATGCATACTTTGCGGAAAAAGTGATCACGTATCCACTGATAACCAAAAATGCGAGGTATGGGAGAGGGAGCAAACGATCAACAGGATCAGAACGATCAAAAAGCTGTCAAGAAGGGAAGCGCTTGAAACATATTATCCAAATAGACACAATAGATTTGACATACTGATTGACGAAGAGACAAATTTCCCACAGTTAAGCAGTGAAACAGAGGTTCAGGACAAAAACGAAGTAATTAACAGACGGCTGACCAAGAAAAGCTACAACAGGGTTGCGAAAGAAGCGGCAATCGGGGGAAAAAATATAGTTAAAAAATCTTTCAACACTA